AACGGTGAAGACGAAACACTGGGTTTCGACGGCGCATGCGCGACACGTTTCACATTCACTCTCGTCTTGGTCTTGGTCTCGGTCTCGGTCTGGAAATCTCACCAAAAGCACAGTACGGCACACACACGACACGACACGAAGCGAAGCGAAGCGAAGGAGAAGAACCGACAGCTAGAGAGGAAGCGTGGGATGGGAGCTCCAGCATATGTACGTCCGCAGTGGCCAAGATTTCGTCGAATACTGAACTCAGCTGTGTGGGGGACCACCTTCCACATGGAGGGAGCTCAGTTCAGTTCCCACCGAAACCGGTCGCAACAATCACTTGTACTCGCATTCATACATTCGCTCTCGCTCCACCGCTCTTTGTGAGATCTGATCCGATCCGATCCGATCCGCTCCCGAACTACTGGTATATGCTCCATTTCGTTTTTGTGCCGGATTTGCCGATCCCAGCCAGGTCCGTCTCTAAATAAGTTCCGTCATATATGACAGGACGACGTGTCGCATTAATCATTGTCATGCCAATTGTGGGTCTGTTTCCCTTTCTGTCCGAGACACTATGTCCCTGGGGAGTTCATGGGCATTTCCCAGTCTTGCGGATGCAGTGCAAAAGCCTCACAGACATACACTCGGAGAGAGAATGAGAAAACTTCAAACCGTCTGCAAAGAGCGAAATTACAATCTTCAACCTCTTACTTCAATAACTCTCCCTCTCTCTCCCGCTCTATCTCTCTCTCTCTCTTTGTTTATCTGCGTCTTTGCTCTTTCGGTTAATTGAGTGGTAAAAACCGGCCCCCATGAGGAGGGGAGTTCCTATTTGCGTTTATGAGATGTTTATGGATTGTTCTTGAGAATTTATGCCTAGACAAATCGACTTGAGGCAGCAGCGAGTATTACTTAACTCTGTTTGATTACCCAAAATTTGCATACTAATTGGAGTAGCATCAAGCTTTATGAGTATTTGTACTTAATAAAGTGAAACTGAACTGAGTTTTATGGTGTCGAAGCCTCAGCATCTACTTATTATAGACCGCCATCGAGTGCGTGGAATTTATAGAATCTAGATTAATAATATAGAATTCAACTAATATCTGAATCTAAATATCTATAAATTGTGTATTTAATGAGGACTATTTTATTAATACTACAACATTCTTTACAGAAAAGTTCCACATTTGCAAGACGAGTTTTGATATGTACAATCTCTTTTTAAGCAAGCAAATAAAAAGAGCTTAAGCACACAATCTATTGATTTCAGTAAACATTTCACGTACCATGTCAAAGACCAAAGTTCAAGTGGTCCAAACCATTCAATCATCCAATGATTAATCTGTGGAACACTTAGCCATTGTACAGAGACAATATTTTATGTCAATTTTCTTTTGAGTATGTCAACAGCTTACTTTGTGTTTTGTGACGCTGTTCCTTCTGTCCTCCGTGCCAGCCTCTTCGATCTCTCTGTTCGGGTGTCAGTCAGCAGTCAGCTGTCGTCATGTGGTGCTGCTGCCTCTCCACTGTCCACAGTGCAGCTGTGCACATTAAAATCAATTAAAATTCTTATTTATCTTCGATCCGAGCCGGGCTAACAAGTGCAGTCAGCCAGCAACAGAACGGGCGCATCCATAAATATTTATCAATCTGGCAGAACGTTTGAAGCAAAAGTTGAACACGCATTCAAACAAATCAAATCAAAATACAAAAAGAAGAAACATTCCTGAATTTGAAGTGCACTTCGAGTGCATTACAAAAAACTATTTCTAACATCAAAACATTTCATGCTCAATTGTCATTAGACAAAAGTTGAAGAAAAACATTATTGAAAACACACATAAGTTGAAGTTGAAGTTTATGGCTCAGCACTGAGCACTCAGAACTGCTAAGCAATTCAGTTAGATAAGTAATTAAATTAATTAATTTTTATATGCGGCCGATTGTCGTCGATTCTTGATTCTTGATTCTTGATTCTTGATTTATCTGTGCGTGCATTGAGGCAACTTGTACGAGTAAATACATATTTTCAGGGGCCTTCTATTCGAAGTAAACTCGATTACTATCTGCAGCTGTGGGCTGTTTATGGGTATCTCAACTGAGCTTATGGCGATTAACATGGAATAATTTTGAATATATATCAGAGATAATCTCCATTCGTGTGTAAATCCTTTTATCCAACTAAATGATGAAATTAGTGACTCCTCAGCGCAGAGATTTAAGCAAAAAACATTTTAGAATATAAAATCTCAGAGCGAAAAAAGATAAAGATATTATTACATTGTTCCCTGTATGGTTTTCAGGCACTTGACGGGCAAAAATAGATTCTAATTTCGTATTCCAGTTTTAATTGAGTTCAGTCCCGAGACTTCAAGAACTCTTGGAATCCACCAGGCCCCAAACACTTTCGATGCGAGCACCAATTACGTGCTCTTAACAAGCTCTCGAGCAACTCCACAACAGTCTACACGTACGCACACAGAACACAAAAAAATAAAAGATACAAAAATAAATCACATTCCTTTGGCAGTAACAAGTGAAGGGTATAAATGTACGAGTGGTTATACATACAAAAATATATGAAAATGTTTATGAATTTATCTGAAATGTACTCAAATATTTGAACCACATTAATAATGAATTTATCTCCCACAGCAGAAGGAGAAAAAATACATTGTCTAACACAACTTTCACTACAAAAAATGACAACTCAAAAAAAATCAAAAATTCCAACAAACAATTTGTGATTGAGGCACGGCTAGGCATAGCTGAATAATTGATTTTTTATGGCTTGGACTTCGATTCGATTTCAAATGCGAGAAAAAATATCAAATAAAATCAAATGTAATGGCTTGCAAATCGAGACCAAGCTTTTGAAGGTCGCGGAGTGCTACTCGACGCGACGCCGACAACGCACAATTCAAAGAAAGGAAAAAAAAACACAACACAGCAACAAAGTATAATAAAATAAAATATAATAATAATCCGACAGGTGACAATAACAAGAGCAACAACAACATCTAGCCGAAACCACTCGTGGAGCTTGTGTCGGCCCACAAAATGGAACACGCGCCATTGAAATAGACAACTCACAGAAAGACAGCCAGCCAGCAGCCAGCAGCTGGTTGTCGGTGCAAAAATGTATTAAGCATACGCACTGTACGTGGCCTGTAAGCTTAACTTAACTAAACTAACTTGCAGTTGGTAGCTTGTTGGCTTAGCTAGTTAGCAAATAGTTTCAACGTGAAGTGGTATTTCCAGCTAATTGGATTCTTTGATTCGATGTTATCGATTCGTGCCGAGTAAATTAAAAAATAACACCATTAAGGGTCCAGCTTCCAGCATGAACTCTAAAACTTTGGCGTATAAATCGAGAGTTTGGTGTAAAATTAATTACCATCAAACATTCAAGTTCAAGTTTGTTCTTGAATTAGAATCTACTCCACAGACAAGCTACATTTTCCATGACCATTTTAGCCCTAAGTATTTAATGAATGATTCCACAACGCAAATGAGATCGAATCGAACAACCAAAACCAAAGCCAAGTGCAATGCCAAGGTGCACTTGTGGCCCACTCCCACAGACAGCCAAGCGCCCTGTTTGAACAAGTGTCGGGGAATTCGCTTCCTCAATAAACACATGAGCTTTGCTTTTATGTTTAATTTCTAGTATTAACCCATTAACACACTGAGCTCATGCCTAACTATAATTCCAGCCGGGCAATGATACAATACAATACAATGTAAATTCATCAAGTGAATTCCCTTTCACTTACAACTGATATTAATGGCACCTACAATGAACGATCTTTTGCAAATCAAATTGAGTCGCCTTCTAAGATTTTATCATAAGCAGTTTTGTATACTCATATTCAGGCGGCATCTTAAGACATCTCAATCTCAAAAGACATGCACATACAACAGCCGCGGGCTCCATGAGATACGAAATGCCAACTGGCACACACACTGCGCATGCGTACGTGATTTTGTGATTTAATTAACTGTGGCCTGGCAACAGCACACAGCTGTACGCATGGCACATCAATGCTCGTATGTACTGCAAACTTAAGCAGCAGTAAAGTAAGGTGAGTAACAGGCATTGACTTTGGTAATGAAAACAATTCGCTGTGGTCTAATTTCAGCGCAGTCCAGTCGAGTTCAGGCCAGGCCCTTCATGCAAGAATGCCTCAATTGAAGGACTTCCCAGAATGATTCATAGGCATTCAGCTGGTTGCCGCTAAGCGTTAATTAAATACTTGCAGAACTTGCAAGGTCACTGTCATAAATTTAACAATATGTAGACATACTCGTAAGTGTAATGCAGGCAGGCCATGTGGCATCTACTGTATAATCTCATACTCCTAAATATATGGTATTTACTTAAGTTCAAACGCGGAAAGTGGCATTTAAAGCTGACGCTTGTTTGGAACGGGAGCGACTACCACTTTTCCAGCAATGGTAATGAGTGCATGGGAATGGGATTTACTGAAAAATAGTCAGATTAGTGTGTCAGATTAAAGTATATTGGCCTGGAAATAGCTGGAAATGTTGAGGCACTTATGCTATGAATATTATCTTAATTCCACTAAGTTGTGCAATAGCTTTTAAAGATTCCTAATTTTGACATTTCAGTCCACTAAGCACGCTAAGCTTGGCACAACATTGGTCTTAATCGGTCAAGCAGGTTAGGATATTCCATCAGAATATTCCACTTTTTCAATGATAAAATGTGTGTCCATATGTACATATTTACATTTTTATTTTCATTCTCAGCTAGTTTACACAGTTTTGTTGCATACTTTTAGTCTGAAATGTATAATTAACATACAACAAAAGTTAACATAATGCTAACATAGATCACAGACGTGCGTGCGGGCCGACTGTTAGGCCTCTGTTACAGAATGCTGCTGATTAAATTTATGCTTCTCAATAAATAATTGACACTTAATCTTAATATATAAGAATCATGCACATCGATTCCAATCAATTACGATCAATTCCAAATCCAAAGGTAATAAAATCACATGAAAAAGATGAGAGTCTTAACGATAGGTAAAACTTAAAAATTCTCTGGCTTCTCTGGCATTTTTTGCAAGTCTTTTATGTATAAGTTATCCTCCAGTGGAAATCTCCTCATCAAATCTGATGAGGTGAAATGTTGCCTATTGCCATGCTCTGAGGGTTCGGGGCGTCCAAAGACTCGCAGATGATAAAGCAAAAACTCATAGAGATACATCCGTTCGGGGCTGGCATAATGAAAGGCCACTGAATAATTGGAGCAGCAATTGAAGCCCTAACCGGAATGATGATGGCAAACATTAATTGAAATTGGATCAGCACTTGGGGTAATCACACTCACAGTTTCGACCTCGGACACACTCATCAGCCGCAACCAATCCGGCGTGGTAGCGTTCGAGTCGTACATATAGCTCTCCAGATCCAATGGCATGAATTTGTGCTTGGTGTCCTCCTCCAGCGCCTGTGCCGAGTCCACCAAATGAACGCCCACATTCTGCAGGCAAATGCCCATATAGAAGTCCTCAATTGATCTCCGCTTGGGCTGGGGACAAACCACCTCAGAGTCATACGCTTGGGCCATAAAACGATGAAGAGCTTCGCGGCTCAGGACATAGGAGGCGCCGCCAGACATGTAGCTCTGATGGATAAACAAAAGGCAACACAATCAGCGCATCCATAATTAATATTCCACACGCGAACCTGCAGCACCATCCCCATAAGAAAACATCAACCTTCAGACTTGAATATTATTTACAAACATCAAAAAGCCAACAAAAAACATGCCGCATTCGATTAGTAACGGTGTAAGGCTTTAGGCATACCCACTAAAGCAAGCAACTAAATCTGCTGTTAATACTACACTGGAGGTCGCTCAGCAGGGAATAAAGTGTCAAAATACGAAACGAATTCAAATGGTAACAGGCGCAGAGCTTACAAATGAATGGAAATTATTCATTTTACTTAATCAATTGTCACCTTTTCTAAGAGCAGGTCCATCAATTAAGCTGCAAAGATGATGAATTATATGTGGGATAGCTTCAAGAGACCTAATGATGATGATTAACCCTTCGAGTTATCTATTTCCCTTGCAGCTTTGGGTGATTAAAAGAAATCAAATAACCAGAAGCCAATCAGACATTTATTTCATATAATTATCCAAAAATATATGTACGAATAAAGCGCCAGAAATCTCCCAAAGATTGATTGGACAAAGACGAGAATTCAAGCCAATGTTTAAAGCAATCAATCAAAACTGATTAGAGCGTTTACGCTGCATTTTGAACAAACAAAACGTGTGATAAATGTGCGAGAAACGAAAACAGAAAACACAAAGGGAAATACCAGTATTTGAATGCCTCAATTATGATTTTCAGCTGTGAACCCTCCTCCACTTCAACACAATAAATCTGTGTGTATGATTACATATGTTTGTACATATGTTTGAAATTCATAATGTTTGCACTTTGTCTGACAAGACGAATGCTTGCACAACGCTTGAAAATGCCAAAAGGCGTTGTAAGTCTTTCGGCTACTGCCAAGATCTTCAGTTGGACCCAAGACAATGGGGCGTGGCTGAACGATGGCGGCCCCCCAATGACCTCAAGTTGCAGCCAGCTGGGGGGACTCCTAATGCGAATTTAATTTCTTATTGTCCGATTTGAGTCCGCTTGATCTATGAACACGGAAAACGCAAGGCAAGCAGCCAGATCTTCAAATGATTTGCAGCAGCCGAAACAGCCTTGTGTGATATCATCATTTGACCAAGAATAGATCTTTGGATCGAACATTGCAAACAAAAAATAGCGATATTAATTGATAAGTTAAGAAAGCGCACCCGGTCCGGTTTTGCTGGCATTGAACTTTCAAGCGATTAGCAGCATTTCGCTATCCCCGAAAACCACGCAAAAGTTCCAAACCAAAACGACGTTGGATCGCCTGAGTGTTTGGCGGCACATTAATTTGACATAAACAAACTGTTTGGCGCTCAAAGCATATTTCAATTAAAAATCAAATCTCAATTTCAGCAATTTGCAATTCAAATTTCTGGGAGTGGCGTGAAGAAGCGGGTTGGCTACAGCATGAAGGATTGTTAGTTACTCGGCGAATGATTTCCTATCCTATCACTTACCACATTATAGCGAGTCATCTTGTAACCCAAATAAACGGGCGAGGTGGGATCATAGGCGGAGAGCAGGTACTGCATGTTCTCCATGATGACATAGCTGGAGGGTATTGGGAATATGAGTGCAGGCTCAGGCACAACATCTCTAAGCTAAACGCACTCACGTATCATCGTCTGCCTTTAGATACCAATCATAGTCCTGGCCGTACTCCTGCCAGACATGGCGGAAACCCTCGCGTGTCTTGTTCCACAGATCCTCGTAGCCGCCGCCGCTGGCATCTACAACCTGGACCACACCCAGCGGCTCGTAGCTCTCACTGCTGACGAACACCAGGCGGCTGCAACGCTTGCCCCAAGTGGCATGCACATGCCGCGCCAAGCTCTGCACATTCTCTGGACAGGTGAGCACCATGCAGAGAATCCTTGTGTCCAGTGGAGTGGTTGTTGCCGTTGCCGTTGCCGTTGCCATTGTGGCGGAGCTGGTGCACCAGGGCGTGGCTCGATTCACATCGTAGACATACAGGAGCAGCGCAAAGGCAAAGATGAATCCCGCCATGAAACCAGTCATGAGTTGCAGCTGGGTTCGCAGCCTAAATGTTGCCGCCATTCTGCGTGTGAGGTGTGTTCTGTGCCGCGTCTGATTCCCGATTGTCATCGCTGCTCAACGCTGATTTTGGCCAAGTCAATCAGCAGCAGCAGTCGGCAACCGGTTTTTATTCGTCTTCTTATCAAAACATTCAAGTCTCTAATTTGCTGGGAGAGTAGAGATGGGCATCTAAGGAGTTCATTATGAATCTAAAAGAAAATTCAACACACAAACAATTACCGATACATAGATTCTTGATTGCACTTCAGTAATATTATAAAAAACATCGAACGTGTGTTGGGATCAAAAGGTTCATCCATTGGCAAGGAGTAGATGTTCCTGCAGCACATTTTCGTATTCTTTTTGTCGGATTTCTGCTCCAGTTCTGGTCAGCAATTACACATCTCAGTTGGCTGCCAAAGCCAAATTCAATTACGCAGCAGAAAAGCGATCACAAAATGAAAATGAAAGTGTTGCCAACACCTTTTTGATCGCATCGCAAGTGGACAATGGGAAATCGATCAATTGAAGCGCATGACATTGTATAACCGCAACGCACCACATTTATTGGGTAACCTGACACCTAGTGTCAGGGTATGTGGTATAAAAACTCGGAGTTGCCTCAATTATGGCAACAGTTAGCTGACAATTTGTGGAGACACAGACCAAACGGAAGCACATATCTAAGCATATCGAGATGGCAGCAAAGGTGAGTCGGCTGGGACATTTGGAGTTTTGCGACCAACTGACACACAATCATTTTCAGTTCTTCGTCCTGCTGTCGCTGGCTCTGGTGGGCGCTGGCCAAGCGGAGTATAACTACAACGAGAAGGCAGCCACTGCCGTGAACTCCCTGGAGCAGAGCGCACCCAGCTCCTCTGGCGAGGATTTCCTCAGCGACTATCACACGCCCAGCAACAATGCGTTGAACTCGCAGGCCACTCCCGATGGCTACGACTACGTGGCGCCCCGTTCAAAACAATTTGCAGCCGGCGGTAGCAGCTCGGCAGCTAGTGTACATGCCTCGAATCTGTTGCAAAGTGCCGTTAATGCAGCTTCTGCATCGGCCACCCTCCTGCCGTCGCCACTGCCCGTGCTGCGACAACACCAGGAGCCCGAGGTCTTCCCTCCTGCCAGCTACAGCTTCAACTATGCCGTGAATGATGAGAGCACCGGCGACATCAAGGAGCACAGCGAGACCCGCGACGGGTATGTGGTGCGCGGCTTCTACAGCCTGGTCGATCCCGATGGCTACAAGCGTACCGTCACCTACACGGCCGACGATGTCCATGGCTTCAATGCAGTTGTGAATCGAGTTCCCTATGCCCTCAAGACCGTGGCAGTCGCGGTGGCACCCTCAGTGGACGAACGCTCAAAGCTGGCGGCAGTGGACATCACTCGGTCTTCGGGTGCTTCCTCTACGGAATCGGAGGGATCTCGTTCTGAATCTGGCTCTGGTGCAGGACCCACAACTCACTCGTTCTCCCAGGATAGCTATGCCAATGCACCGCGTGGCTTGGACGCTTCTGGCGGTCCCTATGCCTGAGTTCTGCTGCTCTGCTATGCGGTGCTTGTATACTGCTTCATTGTGTTCCATCTAATCCATCTAGTTCTGTAGATACTCCATTAAATACGATTAACCAACACTTTCTTACGTTTTTCCAACACCACTAAACAAAGCTACAAAGCTTTGAAAGCTTCCTCGTTGGCATTTCAACCAGCATGTAAAAGGTTAATTGTGTAACAAACATATGGAACTGCCTTTTAAGTAGCGAAGATGCCTCAAAGATATATTACCTCTGGTCGTAGGGAAAACGAAAGGTCAAAGCATCACAACTTGTGATGAAAAACTCTGGCAGACTCGCGCTTACCATTGTCTTCACTGTGCGAACTATGGCTACAATTATTTCCCAACATGTGCCATATCGGTTGCCCAACGCGTGACACGACACGCTCTCCTCTCCAGGGGAAACTTTGTTCAAATGATCTGGCAACATCTTGGCATCGAAAATGGCGTTAAGTTATTTATCCGCGGCGCTCGTTCAAGCCCCAAGTCTGAAGTCTGTCAACAGCCGGCAAAGCGCGAAGACGTTTCGCTTATTTTTGTTGTTTCTTTTTTGTATTTTCGAAGTCTCTGTGTATTTGTGTTTGAAATTCTGTGCGAGTGCCGGTGAGCATAAAGTGGAAAGCAAGTGGACAAGAGGAGAGTCGCATAATTGCTCACCCACACAGACAGGCACACAGCAGAGCCCCAGCCCAGGGCAGTGCAGGGACAGCAGGCAGAGATTTGAGACGGGGCCAAATCGAAATCCGATTGCAACGGATCGCACCAGGCAATTGCAAATCGAATCGAAGTTAAACATATAACGAGTGTATGTACATACTTACATAAAGCACTCCAGTACGAGTGTAACAACAACTTTATGCATGTTCATCAACGAACCGGCGCACAGCGATCCCGCCCGAAGGTCAACCGCATCTTTACAAGCTTTCGTCTGTGCGTCAGTGGCTCAAGAATGTGTTAATTCGGTGTTTCAGTGACAAGAGCCGGCAAACGGCAGCGCCCAAAAGCTTATACACAGCGCCAACATTTATTTCTTGATTTGCATAAAAAAGTAAACAAAGACAAGCAACAACAAGCGACTGGAAAGCAAAACCTATACCCAAAAAAAAAAACACAAATCTGAACCAAAGATGAGCATATTTAGGCATCATCGAAAGCGCCTGGAGCTGCTCTTGATGTTGCTGATCGGCCTGGTTTGGGGCATCCTATTCTCCCAGCTCTTGCAGCGTGCCAGCTGGCAGTTCTACAACGAAGATCTCAATGACCAGAGCAGCAGCTTTGGCAGCAATTACCTGCCAAGTGGCGACAGCTGGAGAACATCGGAACCTTCGTACCAGCTGACAACCATGCCCAACAATCTGACCACGGATGAGGAAGATCTGGCTGTGAGGCTGTTCAACGAGACCCGTGTGCTGTGCATGGTGCTGACCAGTCCGAAGACCCACCGCTCCAGAGCCATACACATCAAGCGCACCTGGGGCTCGCGCTGCAACGAGTTGATCTTCATGAGCACCAAGTCGGACAAGGAGCTGGGCGCGGTGGCACTCAAGGTGAAGGAAGGCTACAGCAATCTCTGGGCCAAGACACGGGCTGGCCTGCAGTATGTGTACAAGCATCATTTCCGGAATTATGATTGGTTCCTCAAGGCGGACGATGACACGTGAGTGGGGGAGAGTAGAGAACGACTCTTAGCCAAGGCTTTACCCAAAATTAATTAATTCCAGCTATGTGGTAATGGAGAACCTTCGCGCCTTTCTGTACGCGTTCACGCCAACGGCACCTGTTTACTTTGGCAGCAAATTTAGGTGGCATGTGAAACAGGTAATCACACCCCCCCAAAAACCTCTCAGTAAACAATCTTTATATATGTATGTCACCCTCTGCAGGGCTATATGTCGGGTGGAGCTGGCTACGTGCTCAGCAAGGAGGCGCTGTTTCGGTTCATGAAATACGGCTTCAGCAACAGCAGCATCTGCAGCAATCGGAGCTACGGCTATGAGGATGTGGAGCTCGGACGCTGCATGCAGGCGGTGGGTGTTGTGGCGGGGGACTCGCGGGATGAGCAAGGCCTGGCCCGCTTCATGCCCTTCTCACCGCTGCACTGGTTCGCAGACTCACCGAAATGGTACAGGCCCTACCGTTACTACACCTCGTCAAATGTAAGAAGCGTTCTACAATGAAATCTTAAATCGTGATCAAATTATTGGAATATTTTTGTAGCAGAGCAGCAACGATTGCTGCTCGAACTCGGCCATCTCCTTCCACTACAGCAATGCCAAGGACTTCTATGTGCTCGATTATGTCATCTACAAGTTGAGAGCCTTCGGTATAAGCAGACCTCAGGAGCAGCTGCCAGTGATGCAGCCAGTTCTGGAGACATTGCAAAAGTGGCGAACCTCGAAGCCAGAAAATAATGAAAGTGTAACTAAAGAAACCCCAAAACCAAAGCTCAAAACAAAAGCCACACAAAAAGCGAAACCTACGCCTAAGCCCAAGTCCAAGCTTAAAACAAAAGCCATAAAAATTGCAAAACCTAATCCCAAGTCCGAACCTAAAACTAAACCCAAAACAACGCACAAAACTACACATAAAACTACACCAAAAACATCACACAAACCAAATCCTAAAACACCAATAACACCCAAAAAATAATGTCAAAACTGAGGACTGGACTGCCACAAACCATGCCAAAGAGTAAAACCAACACAAAAATTTCAAATGGAAAATCAAATCAAATATATTAAATATTAAAGCCCATTCTAAACTAGTCGTAAGTCAAACAATTGTTAATAAACAAAACATCAAACAGGAACTACATACTTGTTGGATCTTAATATTGTTTGCAGTGTATTCTTGGTTAGTTACTACGAAATTGCTTGCAGTGTTCCCTTTCGTTGCACTTTACCGTTAGTTAGTGTCCACTCCTTATGCCATCGCTATGCATGCACCGACTTGTGCACTGCCTGACTCATAGCTGCGTGGTTGTTATTGGTAGAGAGAGCGAGCGTACGGTGAGCGAGGATGTTCAAGGGCATACCAAAAGGGAAACGGTAACTAGAGATAATAGTGCGAGCGTGTTGCTCTGCAGCATACTGCCTGGGCAGAGAGAGAGGGAGATGCATCGAGAGAGAGCTGCAAGCTGCAGACAATGATGCAATATATAATTCATACTGCAGACAATGAGAGTCAGAAAGGGATGGTGCTATACGCTCTCAAAAGCTTGTTCATGCAGTTTGCTCTCAGGGGAATTTCGCTAAATTGGCCTTCGAAAATGGAAAACAATGAAAGCGTGAACCCTGACGGGAACCCCGATAATAATTCCAGCTAGTTTGAAGTGCCTACGAAATGACAGATGAAACAGAACTGTTTAAATCGAATTTAGTTTTAATGTTTTATGGCCTATGCTATTTAGTAGTTGTACTCGAAAAACTCGGGCGGCTTATCGGGATTTGCTTCATGAAAGACACGCTCAATGATATGATACTTGGCGTTGATGCCACCGCCGGGGGGTAGATTTGTAATATTTCTGGTCATCGCATTCATCAGGACAAGCAACTCGTCAAAGTCCATTAATGCGTTCTTTTGAATGACTTCCAGTGTCAGCTGTTCAATGGTGTGGTCAAGGCGCTGATCCTCGGCCATGGCATCGGCATTGACCGTTGGTGCACCCGGCAGAAGCAACAGCAGCAAACTCATGTTGTCACGACTGCCCTTGTGCAGGCAAATGTCCAAAACAGTATTGACAATCGATGTGAGGTTGGTCGTCACTCGGAGACGTGATCTAATGAATGCGCAAACATCCTCACTGCTCATAACATCCCAAATGCCATCGCAGGCAATCACCAAAAATTCATCAGTCTGCTTACGCTCGAGGACAGTCAGATCTGGCTCCGGAGAGACGAGCTGCTCGCAGCTGGAGCGCGAGCTGTCGCACTTGAAGTCGAAGTCCCCCAGAGCACGGGAGACGGCCAGGATTCCGTTAACCCGTTGGATCATCACACTTCCGCCAGCGCGCACTATGCGAGCTCTTTCCAAGGGAAGGGTCGGCTTGTGGTCAGAAGTGCTGAACTCAGCTAGGCCGTTTCGGGAGAGCACGACACGCGAGTCACCGCAGTTGGCCAGATAGATCTTGTCGGGCGACACAAGTGCACATGTGACAGTGGTGCCACCTGATCTATCGTAGGAAAGTCTCCGCATATCCTCGTCGATCTGCAGGAAAGCAGCGCGTATTCCTGCCACGTAATGACCCCTTGCGAATTGCTCATTGGACATTATGGTGCTCAATAGGTGCTCCGCGCAATACGTTGCTACGCGGCCTCCAGCGTGACCGTCATAGACAGCAAAGAATGACCAAAAGTCGAAGGGCTTCTCCAGGCTACACACAGCTGTGTGGGCATCCTCCATTTCCATTCTCCAGCCCTGCATCGAAGAGACACAGTACCGGAGCCCATTGCCGCTCCCCAATTCTATTTCCTTGTCCGTTGAGGGCTTCTCCAGAAGGCCACCCATCTCAAGTCTTTTTCAAGGAAGCGTTTTCTGACGTAACTCGGGAATATTGGGAATCTGTTTCAAAATTTCGAGAGGCTTTAAAATTTAATTGAGTTTTGGCTGATCGAATTTATAATTTTGATCGACTTAAAAATTACATTATCGACATTCTGACATGTAATACAATGCCACTTTTCCCTTATATTCATAAAACCAACCAACCAAACCAAAGTAGAGGATTGTCAGATTTCTTCCAAAAACTTTTGGTTTTTTTAAGCAAAAACTACTTGGAAGCTAGGGAAAATAATAATATTTGTTATTCATTCTTTGAAAAAAAACAGTAAGAAATATACTGACTGAGTACCGGGTATACAAATTGTGACGCGTAAGAAGCGTCTCACACGTCCCTTCTGGTGTTGTCAAAAAGAATGCCGAAGAATATCGAAGATAGAAATTGTAGCAAATAAATAAATATAAACCGAGACTGTGAAAAAAAGCAGACTGCAGCCATCAGATCTGACAAAATTATATGCAGTTTCTGCAATGATTATCGAGATGAAGTTTAACTTTGTATAAATGCTATTTGTAATCAAAGCAATCCGATTTAATTGTTCAATTCTACAGTTGGGAAAATGACATTTATTCGAGGGCATGTCGCAGAACTGTTGCGAACTCTGGTTCTGTCCTTTGTGGTGTGGATGGTGGTGATCGAGCTGCTTCTATTTGTACGCAGCTCTACCTTCTACGAGCTTCGTGAGTTTGTCTTCAAGCCATACAAGGAGTCGATAAGTAGCTATGACGTGGGCACACGGACACATCCGTGGGACGACACACACGTAGCCAGGCAACTGTATGGGCAGGTGCGTGTGGATTGTCTGCTGTATTTGGAGGACTTGGACAACGGATTCGATGCACTGAAGGCTGAGGACATCCGCAAGACTTGGGGCTGTCGCTGCAATCAATTGTTTATAATTAATTCAAAGGATATGAGTCGTACGGCGGCGTATCTGTGGATATATCGGAAAAGCCACCATCGATTGGATTGGCTGTTGAGCGTCTCCATGGGAGCCTATGTGATTGTGGAAAATCTCCGCCATTTTCTGGCCCACTATTCACCGTCGCAGGCGCTTTACTTCAGTGCCCAGCACAGCTTCTATTCGTACGCTCATGTGGGCAAAACAGCAACCACTGATCACATTTTCAGTCGAGGAGCACTGGACCACCTTTTGGCAGAGAATTGCCTGCAGGACGACTCCAGCTTGGGGGCGTGTTTGGCTCGAATGGATCGTGGGCCAAGCGACGGGCTTTTACCATTCAATGTGCAGGCAGAGGTTCTGCCGTTCCAGCTGCGCACCAAGTTTTGGCTGTGGCCCTGCATCTATCGTGCGGTCTACGAAAATCAGGTGAGTCTTGGGAGCTTTTCTGCTCTGATCCGAGATTTATTGTTCAATTCCCAGAGTTTTGAGAGCTGTTATGGTCGCGGCATCCTTTACCCATACGTCAATGCAAATCAGTTGCATGTCCTGGACTTTCTGCTGTATCACCTGCGACCCTACGGATACGAGAATACACTGCCAGAGCTCAGGTCCGTACATTTCCACACACACATTCCGGCCAGGGCGATCAATGATACAGTGGCCAGACGTCTTCGGCAGTCTGTGCGTGTTCTCTGCCTAGTCCTGACCTGGCCCACAAACCACATGAGTGGTGCAAAAACCATAAGCGAAACCTGGGGCCGCCACTGCAACAGGGTGGTCTTCTACAGCAGCTCCCCTAACGCGGGAAAGCCGGACATTGTTGGCCTGAATATCAGCGATAGCTACGATTTGCTCTGGGGCAAGACAAAGGCCGCCTTCAGTCATGCCTACAGGCACTATCGCCATGAGGCGGATTGGTTCTTCAAGGCTGACGACGATACCTATGCCATTATCGAGAACATGCGCTACATGCTCTCCAGCTATTCCCCGAACACTCCCATTCACTTTGGCTGCAACTTTCGGCTGGGAAACGTATCTTACATGTCCGGTGGGGCTGGCTATGTGCTCAGCAGGAAGGCTCTCCAGATGTTCATCTCCCGTGGTATCGGCAAGTCGTTGTGCAAGGCGGGAGGCGCAGGAACAGAAGACTATCAAATGGGAAACTGCATGAACACATTAAATGTCGCGGACGGTGACTCTAGAGACCTCTACGATCGACACAGATTCTTTCCAATTGGCTTGGAGTACTTTCTCATACCAGGACGCGCTGAGTCCATCAATTGGTTGAAAAGATTTCAGACATATTCATTCCAAAAGGTACGAAAGGGTGGATCAAAGAGGTATAATTATAATTCAGGTCTCTTTCTGCTTTCAGGGCATCAATTGCTGTTCAACCTATTCGATAACAATGCACAAAGTATCTTCCTATGAAATGCATTTTCTGGAAACAATTTTATACAGTGCCCGTCCTTATGGCATCATTATGGGTCATCCGACTTCTAGGGAAGTGCTATTAAAATAATAAATAATATAATGAATGTTTTGGTACTTTGGTACTACAGTTATCAGTTCGACCAGCTAAAAGACAAATCCTTAAGGCACGACCTCAACCTTAGTTCACATTAAAACAAGAATTCGTCAAACCATCGAATTTCAGAGAATATTTAATATGGGAAGATGGTAACAAGCTCTGATCTCTTTCCCCGAATATTACCGAATTCCCCCAATATATTTTGCTTGTAAAAAGTAAAAGTAAAGCCGCGACCAGTTAAAAGCCATTGAACTAATATGCATACTTAGCAGGCGGATCTTCTTGGGAATCATCTCCCGGCCGTAATTTCTGCTTCTTTGGCTTCAACTATTTTAGCTGGCAATGATTCGTTGATGAGTTTGTGACCGAATCCCTTCAGTCTGTAGATCATATACTCGAAATAAAACATATTCCTGTTCTGAACATAGTGAAAAGTAACGGGATAGTTTGACCAAGAGAAAGTTCCCTGTGAGGTTTAAATTGTTAGGATATGAATGGTTTCTCATTTGTCAAGTGTACGAACTTCTTGGTTCCTGTAGGCGATGTACTGCCAGAACCAGTAATTGGGATCGTAGCGTAAATAGGCATTCAATCTAGCCTGCGGGTCTATCAGGTACATCCGTCGCCGTCCTTTGATGTCCCTAGAGTTACCCGCCATGACTTTGGCGTTATTGAGGCACTCCCTTAGCTTGCCCATTGTGGCTCCCGTGTCCTTGGGCTCGCAGAGCGTTGCATTGGGCAAGGACAGGTCTACAAAGCGCCGCAAAGCAGCTCGACTCATCACAATGCCTGGGGACCCGAAATAAATGGGCATCGACGAGCTGTAGGGATAGAGCATTTGTCGCAGGTTCTCCATTATGACATAGGTCCTTGTATCGGCCTCCAGGAACCAATCGGCCTCGTCCAAGTGATAATCGTAGATATACTTCAGGGCCTGTTTTGTTTTCCTCCACGTCTCTATGCGTTTGCCATTGCCAGGCAGGTTGATAGCTCCCATTTCGGTATCTTCCTTGTCACTCATGAACACCAGCTTATTGCACCGTTTTCCCCACGTACGAAAAACTCCCATGGCCTCCAAATGGTGTTGGCTTGACTTCGTATATACGAAACACAAGACCCGCACCTCCTCATACAAATCGACATCGCGTTTACTCGTGATGTTTAGCGTGAGATTCGTTCGTGAACTCAAGTTAAAAATCGGCCAGAGGAACACTTGAGTTATCAGATAGCCAATGCCAATGCCCAGTAACAGGAATAGCAGTGGACCAGATAATTTCGATGTCGATTTCGTTGTCGATGTTGATTCCTCAGCTGCCATCTTTCCGGGTGTGCGTCTAGTACTAAGCCTCTGCTGGCCGGACAGTTTCTGAACTGTGATCAAATTACAAGCATATTAGTTATGCCTTAAAGCGATCATGATGATGTTTAACTATTGCAATAATACTAATACACAACTGAGCGCATCGAGAACCATCCCTTTCAGACTCTTATTGTCTGCAGCTTGCTGCATTGTAGCCTGTAGCTCTCTCTCGATGCATATATCTCTCTCTCTCCCTCTACCCATGCAGCGTGCTGCAGTCTGCAGAGCAACACGTTCTCTATTTACCGTTTCCCTTTTGTTCTGTCTTTGAACATCATCACTCTCCCTACGCTAGCTCTCTCAAACACTAACAACAACGCCGCTATGAGAAGACGGTGGACAAGTCGGTGCATGCCCAGCGATGGTATAAGCGGTGACCCGTAACAAACGGTAAAGTGCAAAGAAGACAACGAGAGCGTAGCCTATAACCAACGACGCCTTTGCTTCTTCAGATTTGGAGTCTTTAATCGGGTTTTTTGAAGTTTTTAAAATACTTCACCTGGATATATTATAAATTATACTTATCCACCCCTACAAGCTAATATTCTAATGCTAGTAAATGGATCAAATGCTTAGCATATGTATAAAAACTAGACTTGTTCTCCTTTCTTCTCCTATTTGGATCTTTCGTCCTCGTCGTTATTGGCCTCCTCATCAGCACTTGAGTCCGAATTGTCGTCGATGTCCTTGGTATCGTTGGAAGCAGCTTTCTTCGAGATCCGTTTCCTATATTTAGTCTCTTCCTTTTCCAGCTCTCTGGAGTCCATTTCCCTAGCATCAGGCTCCTTGGGGGCCTTGGTAGTGGAGGTTACTAGTCTATCGTAATCATCCACAGAATCCTCATTGCTGCCCGCTTGTTGCTCAACGGGGGCAGGTAGAAATTTACCCACTGGCAGCTTGGCGGGCAGGCTTTCCAGTGACCTCTGCAGACCATATGGCTTCAAGTGATAGATCAGATAGTCCAGAACATACATCAGATTGGGCGCAACATAGTGGAAGGATATGGCCAGATCTGAGCAGCAATCCAGACCCTGAAAGAAATACAAATCGTTGCATTATGGATAGGAAGAGGCGTGGACTTTCTTACGTCATCCGTCTTGTAATACATGTAGTTCCAGTACCAATACTTCTTATCCCACTTGGCGGGTATAAGATGCTGTTCGGGAGCAAACGGTAACATACGTCCGCGACCCATCGCATCCCTTGAATCCCCAGCCGTTACATTCAGGTTCTGCATGCAGCGACCGATCTCGATATCCTCATTCACCACAGTGCCGGGCAGGCACATTTTCGGATTCGGAATGCCCTCGACCACAAACCGGCGCAGAGCCTCTCGACTGAGAACGTAGCCAGCCCCGCCGGACATGTAGCCCTGTTTGACGAACGGCTTGAACTTGAAGCCAAAGTGTACGGGCGTCTGGGGGTTGTAGGGATACAGCATATAGCGCATGTTCTCCATCACCGCATAGGTGTCGTCATCGGCCTTGTAGAACCAGTCGGCATCGTTGTAATGATTCTTGTAGACGTATGTGAAGGCCTGCTTGACCTTGGCCCACAAATTCACTCGACCCTCTCCCACATTCAGTTTGACTGTTGGCAGCTCATCGTCATTTTCGGAGCTCATGAAGAGCAGAATGTTGCAGCGCTTGCCCCAGGTCCGTTTCACATGACGAGCCTTCTTCTTGTGGTTCGTGGGATTTGTCATCACCCAGCAGAGGATGCGAACCTCCTTCTTCAGCTGCTCTGCCACGGTGGAGTTGTCGTGGCGATGCTCATGGGAGTGATGCTGGAATACATTTTGATCAACTTGCTCAACCTTTTCGGGCTTTCGTTCGAGTTTGGGTTCGCTGTGGAGACTCAGTCTTCCCCTGAGATAAGGGTACAAGCTTTCATGTGGCACAATACTGGCAAACAACTGGGCCAGAAAATACCCCACCACAACGCCTAGGATGAGTGTGAAGATCGAGCGATTCTTCGAGCGGGGAGCTGCAATGGTTCCTAAATTACAGAATTTTTCGCTGCTGATCTGAAATTCACTCTATTACCTTCGGTTAGCAGCGTTCGCGTTAGAAGACTTGTATTGGACATTTTACTATTCCACTAAATATTTAAGTTCGGTTTTCTTTTACGTTTCACTTTCAATTGTAGACATCCGTCTGGTGTTGGCCTGCCTTAAGATCACTTGTGTCAACAAGACATTGGGTTTTGTCACAAATTTCTATGCCGGGAAGTGGTATTTTCTATTTCTAACTCGAACCGAGCCCTAAAGCGTTTGATAACCGACTAAACTGTGGCAACGACTTTATCTGCTGCTGATCACCCAGATCTTTTCATTTATCCCAAAACAGCTGTTTCAACATAAGCCATAGATATGTACAATTGAAGTATTAGTATAAGAAAATACGGGTAAAAAAAATTATAAGTATATCAAAAAGTTAAAGCTTCAAAAAGAGCAGGAAATAATAGGAAAAGTGTCCAAAAATAAGTAAGAGACATCTCAGTTAACAGTTAACTGTTGTTTTGAAAAACAGTGCAAAAGAAAGCAGTGCAAAGCAGTAGGAGAATTAAAAGCTTTGCGGCGCTGTTAACTTAACAGAAAAGCTTTTCTGTTGCTTCAATTTTGCAGATCTTACTTCAGTTAAACAAAATGTATGAAATTACGTTGATTGAAATTTATGTTTTATAATAAACAATTTAACATTTTTCCACTAGCAGTGTGTCAATTTATTATACTCTTTAGTTTGCGAAAATTGGGTCAAGAACTATACTTAAATCTAAAACAATGAAAGAACGGAATGAATTCTCGAATATATAGTTTACAAGGAAATAAGCAATTAACCATAAAAGAATTAAATACACATAACTAATGGCTAATACAGATACTTAGAAAGGCGTTTTAACATATGTAAAGCACTTGTCAACAATTGCTTAGCGTTAAACGGGGGATCTACATATGCTTTTAAATATGTTTCTATTCATATTATGTAGACATTATATTTATTTAAGTATATTTACAGAGGACTTTGTAACATTATCTTATGGGGGGAGCGGGTTCTTGTTAACAGTTATTATCGTAGTCGTTAACGTTGTTATTATTGTTAGAGTTAAATTCAAAATACAAGCTCCAAGTGGTTGTTAATATGAATGATGGTTATCTATATATCTAATACAATTTATGTAATATATTTTATATAAATATTTATGTATATGTAATTTAGTATTCTTAGGGCCAATTAATTTAGCTTGGACGTGTCTTTTTTCTATAGTGGATTTCTCTTTGATTGGTTTGATTCTGTGTTAGTGTTTGCTGCTGGGCCTCTCCGTTTACACTGGGGACTGGACTCTTAAACGAGCTTTCGATTTTCTGCATCTTTATACCATGTACTGCATATAAATGTACATCAAATAATAATTTGTATATTATTTTCGGGTTACAAATGTCTTATAGTCCCTTCTATTGTTGCTCGTCTACCGATCTCCCGATTAAACATAAACATAAAGGCCAACGTATTGTGCATAAAGGTACTTTGGAGGCATGGTATCATCTGTTTGTCATCTATTTATGTGTTCTTACGCCGGCATGGACGTGACCGTAGACGTAACTGTAGATGTTGCCGGGGTGACAAACGTTTTTGAATTGCGCGCCACAATCGCTCGGACCCGCTCCTGCAGATAATCACAAATGGAGGTGTACTTCTGCTGATGCGCCAATTCCAGGGCCGTCAGCTCCTCCTGGTTCTTCAACAGGACATCGCTGCCGGCAGCGACCAGCTGCTTGCAGACGGTCATATGGCCAAACATAGCGGCTGCATGCAGGGCCGTCTCCCCGTTGGGCAGCAAGCCCAGATTGGGGCGGTACTTGAGCAGCACTGTGGTGACCGCCGCATGCCCCTTGTGGGCAGCCTTAAAGAGCGGGGTGGCGCCGTCGCAGCGCACTGTATCCACATTGGCACCATTCTGTAGGAGCACCTTGCAGATGTGATCCTGTCCCATTTGGGCGGCTATCCAGAGCGGTGTGGCTCCGTCTATGCGCTTGATATCGATTTCCGCATGAGCCTGGATCAGCAGCGACAGAACTGTTCGATGTCCGTTCTGGGATGCTATGAAAACAGGCGTGGCACGGTCCTAAAAGTCCAAATGCAAGAAATATGAAACATACTCTAGATTCTGTTGTTCCGTCCAACCCACCTTCATGCGAGCATTCACATTCGCTCCACAGTCCAGCAGCTCCCGCACGATCTTCACATGACCACCCTGTGCAGCCACAAACAGGGGCGTGCCACCGTCCGCGGAAGCCGTGTCCACATTCGCTCCCGCCTTCATCAGAATCTTCACCACGTCCAAGTGTCCGCCCTGGGCAGCAAAGAAGAGAGGCGTTGTGCCCGTCAAGCGGCGTGTGTTGGGATCTGCACCCTGATCGAGCAGCTCCATCACGCAATATGTGTGTCCCCCGGCGGCAGCCAAAATAAGTGGCGTGGTCCCATCCTGGAAAAAGAAAACATTAAGTGCAAGATAATGAAGGAAAACCTTTGCAAATTATGAGAGGAAGAATTATTCCATGGAAATGCTCGGCAAACATGAATCAAATACTCTCCGTCTAAATTCTCATAATTAATTAGCCACTAAACAAAATCAAAGCTAACTTGAAGCTTCACTTGAATGCAAAAGTAAATATTTCATTAACAATTCAAAGCGTTAACAGCAATTTATTTTCCTATAATTGTTTAATTGAGCATCAAACCATTTAAAAGGCAATTTGCGTTTAGTTTCACAACTCAAGAGCAAAATCGTTTCGTGTGGATTTGCATGCGTGTCTGAGGAAAGTCCAAGTCGAAGCAAATCACAAATCGCTGCTCTCTCGCTGCATTTGGACTGCACTCGGATTACCCTGGGGCCGGGCAAACACGTAGAGCTGTGAGCCCTTACTGGGCACCGACACTGACTCTGACTCTGGCCCACTGCCCCAGCAGTCGACTTTCCTCAGCTCGTGCCCGCGCGCTTCGCTGAGCGTTAAGTGAAATTTAATTTCTTTATTTTCATTTACTTTTTTTTGGTTTTGGTTTCTTTTTTTTTTTTGCTGCAGTTTTCGACTTCTTTGCCAATTGGTGCGTGCTGGGGTAAACAAAGTGTTAACTGATTTTAGCGCTGATTTCTTTGCATTATGTAATACTTTTACTGACAGCATTTTGAAGTCGCATGGGTCACGCCTTAGCGCTTTTAAGGCACTGTTTGCAATTGCGCAATGTGTCATGTAACGTACAAAAATATATTTGAATTAAGTCCAGAAAGTGTGCTTAAGCCTTGCAGCCAAATAAATGTTCAACTTGGCATTCATCTCACCTCATCTTTGCAATCCACGTGTACCTTTCCACTGTCCAGCAGCCGGAGCAGGGCCACCTCATCACCCCTCATGGCTGCCATATGCAGCTGCACATCCGAGGGCGTCTCTTTCTGTTGAGTGGAAATAGAGAAAAATGTGGAATCAAATCAATTAACAACTTCAAAGTGTAACTACTGTCAAAACAAGCAAATAACCCTACAGACTCTGGCTCGTGCTATTCCCAGCTCTCCAGCTCCAGCTTTATGATGTGGGAAATTACTTTTCCTGTTCACAGTAATTAGGGTCACTGCTGTAACACTCAACACTGAACACACACAAGTTATTTTATGGCGGATGTCGGACCACATTGAATGCATTTTTACAATATTTTTGCTGCCGCTCTGATATAAAAAGAAGATTAACCCTGAGATAAGCACCCAGGGTTGAATGTGAGTGCAAACGGTTCTTCATTGATTTAAAACATTTGTTAACTTTAACTTTACTTTAGCAATTAATACTACAAAAAAATATTTAATGAGCTCAGAATTAACTTCTTTAATACATTTATTATCCATACATTTCCATCTACCCAACCCGCCTATGAAAGGGTTAAACTCCATATCAATCACCCCAGACACCAGCCAGCCGATCACCCCAAGTCTAAGCCCTGACCATGTTAACCAGCAAAAGGAAATGCAAGAAATATTTTGTTAAAGCTAAATGCAGTAAAAATGTCAACTTTGCGTTAATGAAGCGAATTAAATGGGATAGCTGCAGCTGGGCAGAGGAGGGACCTGTTGCGACTCAGCCCAGGACAGGTTAAAGACAAGTGAAAACCCTCACATGACGTGACTCAAGATGGCAGCAGAAAACAATGCAAATGCTGCTGCACTTTAAAATGACATAACGATGATGATGGCATCGCGATAATCATGGCACTCTTGATGATAATGATGTTTATGGTTAACGTAAGGTAAGGTAGCAAATGCCCGAGCTACAGGTGAGAAACACTTTTAATGCTTCAGACATGCACTAGACAGAGCAGATGCGATTGCATCAGAATAAGATATACAAATATGCATATAAGAGCGTTGAAAGTTTCTGGGATCAGCATTAAATATAAGACAATTAAGAGAGTTCCCTGAATACCGGGGCACAAATCCATGCCATACATCTACTGCTAGCAGTTTGCCGGCACAAATTCCATTCCAAACTCACTGAAAATAGGCCAATTACCTGTTATATGGGTCAAGCATTGAGCATTTACTCACCTTTAGCGACATGCTTAGTTCTGGCTCTCCTTTGGCTTCTCTGTCGTCTCTGGCAATTGCACCTGCTTACAAGCCCGTTTCCATTGACCGATTTTTACGAACTGTAACGCCGCTGCTCCCCCAACTCCAACTCCAACTGCAGCAACTTCTGGTTAAGAGTAACAGTGCAACAAGTAACACGGCAACAACAAATCAAATCAAATCACAGCACAAACTGTGCACAGTAGAAGCGGCAGCAACAGCATGGCCATGCCAACCCCAAACCCCAAGTCAGAGTAGAAGTCGAAATCCCCAGACCAAATCCAAGTCCAAGCGACCAGTTCCCAAAAGTCAAGCACTGCAAATAAAAGGGGAGAAAAGGCACGGGCCACATTAAAATTAACTTGCCATGGGTATAACAGGTTTTTCTCTTCCTAAAATGAGAATTAGAATGCAAAAAAAAAGAAAAAGTTACAATCCAATTGGGAGGAGTTCCTGGGAATTGACCTGAAACCGATCAGTTACAGCCATGCCATGATGGTGTATGGATGGTCTCAGGGATTTCAATCAAACAGCCTTCTTTAAGCCCTCCTAAAGGGACTCGTTTTTAGATCAAAAGTAAAAGTTCGACATAGATTTAATGGATGTCGTAAATGGGTCGAGCTAGTTAGATTTCAAACAGGACTATTAAATGGAATTAGCTCTCTTCGAACTGCATGGCTATTAATATTTAAAAGTGGCAATTGCTCTGTGCCTGAAAAACTATTACAAATAATGGTTGGCTGGGTTGGTTGGCGAAAATACCCCCACAAACATGAAATTTGCATTTAAAATGTTCAATTATTATTTATTATTCCATTTGCCTTGAAAAGTTACTTTGGTCCCTGCATTCAGGATTATTCCTTCAAAGTCTTCCTTACGATTCAGGCAAGAGTTTCATTGAAATTCACAGAGATTATTTATAGCCTTTTAAGTTATTTCAACCTCAAATTTCTCATATGTAGAGTATTTATAGCCTGGGTTTGTTAGTTTTAAAGTCTATTTTTGTATCTATTTTGCATTTCATGCAGTCTGCTTCGATTTTGCATGTGGCCAGCATAGGTTCGTGTTGGTTTTTGTACTCTTTATAATTTCTCTGTTTCTTTATTATAGGAACGCCCCCCTGACAATTGAGAGGCGGTCCCTCAGATCAGGTCGGGTCTGACTTGGCTCTACCAGCACGCAACATTGTACTATGTACATAGGCTGGCCAAAGTGAAGCATTTTCATTTTGATGATTTTTTTTGTCTGTTACTTTCCTTCTGTCGCTGGTTGTTTTATTAATTGCATTTCATGTCGGCGCAGCTTTTTGTTGCTTCTTTTTTCAGCTCTTTTACGAGGCGCATCAACGCCATCGTCATCGTCATGATGAGGCTGCCTTTTGCCTTTCAACTTTTGACCTAGAAAGTGCTTTAGTTTTGGGTTTTCCTCATGGGGGCATCATCTGAACAGGCAGCAACAGCAACGCCAGCAGCCGAGCACTTTTCGGTGCTGACATCATATTTACAGCTTTTCTTTTTCCCTTTTCCAGCAGGCTTTGGATGCTTCTTTTTTGGCTTGCCAATCAGATTTTGTCACGTGATAATAGAGTCATATTTGTGTAGCTTCTTGTCAGGAAAACAGATTACGCTTACGTTACAACGAATATTGAAGGTAGGATATTGAAGTTCAACGCTATTTATGTTTAGTTGTTTTTGTGTGATTATTTTCACAACCTCCGGTAGGACACACACAACTGATTTGATGTGTGGTGGGGTACCTTATCGTACCTACATAATCGTACATACAGTTATGCTTCAAAACACGCTGATATGTTTCTCATGTAGCAGTGCGTTGCCGTATGATTAGATATATTTTCACAGCATTATACATGTCGAGCAAAATCGTTTATCAATGCTCGCAGCTTGTAGTTACAACTTGCAAACAGATTATTCAGTTGGTATAACAACTATTATTAATTCTTTAATTATATTGTTATTTTATAAAATATTATATTTGTTATTTGAGATCAAAAATAGCATTTCACGTTATCATGATCTCATATTTGCTTTGCTCTCGCATAAATTCATCTAAACATTGACGACACATTATGCAAAAAAATATCAGCACATTCGCCACCGCACACGCAAAAGGTCAACAGGCAACCTGGCCGAGTCGCCGGGCCCCTTAGCCACTTGTGAGATCTCACCTCAAGAAGTTTCAGCTCCACGATAACAATAGCAACAATTCACCCGACACGCCGCTTTGCTTTTGACCAAATAAACGACGCGAACCAAGCACCAAACGAACTAAAAGCTGCCGAGAGAATGAATGAGTAGGGGCACAAAATGAATGGGACTGCTGGAGGCAGCTTTGCAGCGCTTTATACCTGGTACGTGTAGAAGGGTAAGGTATGCTGCATCCATAGGGATATTTGCAACATGCAGAGTAGGCATACACAAAGTCTACCACAAAATCGTTTAATATAATTTCTGCCCAACGTTCTATGACTTCACTTCCAGAAATTTTTACTTTTGTGCCATAGTGCGTTGTACGAACGCTGCAGGGTCTCTCTTATGGCTGGAATAGGAGGGTAGGGTATAGTCGATACACACGAGTACAGCGTTGTATTGCAAAAGAGTAAGAGCAGAAGAGAGAGAACGACATCACGTTGTGTAAAGTGCATGGCCTATCATCGGGCGCTGCCGTCAAAGTTCATTGAATTTTTATGAGACTTCGACTCGCACACTAACGCCTATAAATAGGCAACGGTAAAAACGGTAGAACGGTAAATGTGCAGGCCGGGCGTGCTTTAAGGCACTATGAAAACAATCCTGCGAAGCCACCCACATGAACGAATCACAGAGAAAACCGAAGGGAACCTGCTTCCCATTGACGAAAATTCTAGCTGACACCGAGCGAGGTCACGGGGCGAGGGCTCCGGCTCCTCTCTGTGCCAAAATCAATACTCACGCGCTCGCTGGGTCACACACACGCACACTACACACCATCCAAGGCTGCGTTTTGCAATTAATTCTATCTATCGCACTGATTCCCGACACTTTTTTTAATTTACTTTTTACTTTTAAATATTTTACAATATATTTATTTACATTTATTTTCTAGCAGCACGGAATGGCGGGTAGCAGTGTGACCGCGTAGTTATCGATATAGTATGCCGCCTGACCCTCAAAACTATACCGAAATATACTTTCTCATTTTCAAAATATTTGCCGAAGATAACAAATCCCAGAACTCAGCAGGATACGACTCTCAGTGCTGAAACTATAACTGTATTCGATACAATTATAAAGAAAATGTAACATCGGAGAATTATATTTCCGATCATGTCCCTTGTTTTGGTGTCACACCTTGCATTTTTCCATAACTTTTTCAGTATTTTCCTGACTTTCAGTATATTTCTTCAGCGTGAAAAAAGACCCATGCCCTAGCAAAACATTTAATACTAATTTGAGATCTTCATAAAATTCCTAATCGTTGTTTCCCACAAAAACTAAACTTTCTCGAAAATGTCGAAAAAAGCGTGGATAACAGAGTTTTTTCACGCTGCCGCTTCCACTAGCTGCTTATGACAAAAATACGGCGAAACTTGTCAACAAACGCTAATTACATAAACATGTAGATAATATGTAGCAAAAAAATAAAAATGTTTAAAAAAAAATGAATTTAATATTACATTCAACAATTACGAAAATCTGGATGGGTAGATTTATTATTTCTAAACTCGTTCACTAAGTTTTTTACTCATTAATATGGGATCTCTTAGAGATAAGCCGTTAATGATTTCAATCAACGGTTCAATATCATCACAATTATTTTCAAGCAAGTATTTTGGTGAATTTTGTAGATAGATTTTAATCTTCCCGCGCTGCTCCCGCTGTTCGTTCGCCCAAATCCGAACACTATTTACAAACGAAGCGTCTACATTGAAGCTCTCTCGGCTACTGAGAACTCTAAGGCTAGGTAGTCCCGTCAGCAGATCCAAAAGTTGGTCGTTCCTAATTGGCATGGAGATTTGTAGATAGAGAAGGTTCTTCAGTTTCAATAGGTCCTCCAAAGGGACGGAGTCGCAACGTACATCGAGTTCTTTGAGTGTAGAAATATTACAAAGATGCTTAACCTGTTCTTCCCGCAAATCGGGGCCATCCAGTATTAGACTTTCCAGAGGGGAGCCCTTTTTATTGATTAACCCCTCGAGAAGGGAGGCCCGTACAGAGCCTTTATGCCACAGCTTTAAATGTTGCAGACTGGGCAACTGGCAGACCAGCTCATAGGGCAATTTTTCATCCAGCCGGAATACACCAAAGGCCAAACGCTCCAGCTGTTTGCAGTTCCTCACCAGAATATCAAAGTTGTTCTTACTGATATTTTCAATGTGATAGCCAAAGTCCAAATGCCGCAACTGCTTCATTGTTTGACAGCATTCCGCCAAGCTTGTGGCATTGAATCCAGGACAGGCACCCACCTGCAGAGACTCCAGTTGGTTAAGAACATGCAAGTCTCTTCCATTATAAGCGTCAGCCTCCAAGTTCAGTTTCCTTAGACACGTGAATTGCTTGAGATTGTGAACAAAAGCAACACACACATCCACATCTGGAAAGTACAGATAAGCGTGCAAAGACTTCAGATGTTGAAGGCTGTTTAGATCGTTCCACCTCGTCCGTCGAAATGCCATTTTCAAATTTCGTAGATTCGTGCAGTAGCTCCGCAAGAGCCACAGACGGTCCCCATACGAACCGAAATTCAGTTCGGACTTATAGCTGGTCAAATGTGGGCCAACAATATACAACAGACTCTCCAACTCTTGGTCGTCTAAACTACCCGCGAGCGTTTCATCAATATGTTTGTACCGATGACTTGCGTATCTCTTGAACATCTCTCCAATGAACACGTTCGATGAAGCGAGCCTTAGCTGGTCCGGTACATCCAGATAATCCATTACAACTCTCCAGCAATCCTCCTTTAAATGCAGAACACTTGTAGTTGGCGTTCTCACTTTGGCCTTCTTTGCATCGGGTGCGTCATCATGGCCAGCGGGTTTTCTCTTTATATTTTCCACACTCATTACGATTTGTATACGTTCTGATTGTTTCGACGCGCCCGAATAGACTGAAAGGCTTGCCACCCAGCGGAACTTTATCTGTCCCAACGTGTGGTGTTCCCCGCAATACGAGCAAATAATCAATATGTATTATCGCTTACTTTGTTTCGTATTTATCAGCAACATAAAGTGAATATACTTACAGTAAATCAACATGTATGGGATGTACTTGCGATCGTTAAATAAGTTCTTTGGTTATTAATACAGGAAATTTATGACAATCCAACATTTGGATTTCAACAAAAGTAGTTTTAAAAAACATTTCGTCTGAATATGATTCAATGCTACAGATTTTAATCTTTCTGCGCTGCTCCGTCTGTTCGCTCATCCAGGTTCGAACACTATTCACTAAGTTGTCATGGTCTATCATTTCATTATTTCGTAAGTTGAGAACTTCCAGGCGCGGAAGCCCTTTTAGGAGGTCCATAGCCTGGTCATTCGTAACTGGCATGTGTATGTGAAGGTATAGAAGGTTCTTCAGGTTGAAGAAGGTTGAAATATTGCAAATATGCTTAACCTGATCCTCGAACAAACCACCACTGCCTATGATAAGACTTTCCAGAGGAGAACCCTTTTTGTTGATCAACCCTTCGATTAGCGAGTCGCTTATAGAACCGTCATGCCACAGCTCCAAATGTTTCAGTCTGGGCAACAGACAGATCAGGTCATAGGGCACCGTTAAGTAGAGATTCTCTACATTAAAGGACAGACGTTCCAGCTGCTGACAGTGCTTAACCATCATTTCGATATTGTCTTTGGTGAAGTATTCCATATCGTATCCAAATCGAAAACTGCGAAGACTTGATTTTGATGTCTAGCTCCAGAGATTCCAGTTGATTCTGTTCCGCTGTATTGTGCCTTCAACTTTAGTTCCTTTAGATACGGAAATTGCTTCAGTTTGTCAACGAAATCTGCACAGAATTCCTCGTCATCCTCGTCGTCATACATAAGAACCAGACTAACGTCCAAAGATTTGAGCTTCTTTAATTTTCTTAAATAGAGCCATCCTGGCCAGAGAGGTGGTAATTCAATTTTAGGTTTTGGAGGTTTGGGCAGTGGTTCCGCAGGAGACTCACCTCCACATAGATTTTCGGATATTCGGACTCATAGCTAACCAGATTCTCGCCAACGACCTGCAATAGTTCACTTATTCCTCGCTAAGCAAACCCGTGAGAGATATATCAGTACGTTTGTACCGATGGCAGGCGTATCTCTTGAACACTTCTCCAATAAACAGGTTTGAGGAAGCGAGCCTTAGCTGGTCTTTTACATTCAGATAATCCATTAAAACTCTCCAGCAATCCTGCGTAAGCGACGTCCACACTTTGGCACCGACTGCGTTGTTTGCGTTGTCTTTCTCCTCTACAACAGCCTCAGCCACATTACCAAAAGATTGTTCATTCATTTTGCTTATTGCGTTTATGCTGCTTCTATCCCATCAAAAGCTGCACATAATATCAACATTTGCTGTCTATATAAAAGGGAGAATGCTTGTGTCTGCTTCTTGGACTTTCTGAAAAGGAATTTATTAGTCAAAAATGTATTAATATAATATTTAATAAGGGTGTTATCTACCTTTAGTGCATTTCCAGTGCGCAGAGTCGTCGATGGGTGCTGTTGGCTGTGCACCAATTTCTGATCTTTAGCAGACCTAACCAAGATGTTGAAAGAGTCCAAGTCGCATTCGCGCTAGCTTCCAGGTTATTATGCGCCGCTGATCTCCTTTTTTACGCTTAATTTCTGAGTGCACATAGAACAACTTGCTGAATTTAAAGGCGATCCGCTGCTGCTATGGTAGACGGAAACATCGATAGGTATCGATAGGTGGCAGTAGGGGCTCTCGAATAATCTGCATAAAAATAATACTCCAAAAATAAATTGCCAATTAATTAAATGCTAGACGTTTCATTTCTTTTTTACTTTGATTAAATTAAGTATTTATTTGAAAAACTGCAAAAGACTTGTTTGCCAACCAGATTTGTGGGCGATGGATATTAAGGCGGCATTCATTAAGTTAATACTTGTTTGTTATTTTAGCAGATGGTGATTCCTTACATTTAATATGATTAAAATAGAAGTTTTACCGAATCCGCAAAATGAATGAGACCATACTACATTATTACAAATAGCGATATAACTATCGATAAGGCCGAATGAGGAAGCGCAACCACCTTCACGTCGCACTGTCACTTCTTTCTCTTTTTCGCCTTCATCGACAGATTGCGGTCGCTTGATTTGTAATTTCTACAAAAATGTAAGTAAAATCTCTTATTCAGTGCCTTAAAACGTATAATTTATTCAGAAAATTATCCCATTCGCATTGCAGCCCAACAAAATGGAGAACGACGCCGGTGAGAATGTTGATTTGTACGTGCCCCGCAAATGGTAAGTGAAACACGTGCTCCCCAGTCGCTCCCTAGGATGGCATGTTTAATCCGCTTGCGGTGTGGTCCTATTTGCAGCTCGGCCTCGAACAGGATCATCCATGCCAAGGACCACGCTTCCGTGCAGCTGAGCATTGTGGATGTGGACCCTGAGACTGGCCGCCAGACCGATGGCTCCAAGACCTACGCTATTTGCGGTGAGATCCGTCGCATGGGCGAGTCCGACGACTGCATTGTGCGTCTGGCCAAGAAGGATGGCCTCATTACCAAGTGAGTGCGCTCTTATTCAATAGTTTTATTATGATTCTCATTAACAACTCGTTCATCTTTGCTTGCAGGAACTTCTAAATATGTCGAAACCATAAATCAGAATCGTGAATTGGTAATAAAGTGAATTCCTTTTTGTAACTTAACGTAAAACAAGTTCAAAGTGTGTTTTTATTGTGGACCAACGGTGTGGCAGTAATTGGCATCTTACCTCCTTGAGGTTGGCATAAAATCAAGGATTTCAGTTGACAAAATACATGCAAGTGCATGTGCAAGTCTTTCTTCTAAGTTCTCTTTGATTTTCCGACCATTAGAACTACTTGTAAAGTCGGTCTTTCTGGTAGAACGATGATTTATGCACGGAGTAAAGTCTACCAGGACAGAATCTATCCGTTTTGTTCTTTGAAGGAATTTGTTAGTTTCAAATGCAGGACGGATCTTCTAGTCAAGGAGTTGATGTTTGAGGCTAACCGAGTCGCATTTTCGTTCCTTCTTCAACTTAATTTCTTCCAAGTCTTTTCCGGCCGTCAAAGTTTTGCCATTTCTGATGGGAAGTCTCCATATCGTTAGAAAAATACTTCGTCAGCATGTTCCGGATGCCATCCACCTCAACCTTATCAGGTGGGGCCTCAAAGTGCGCGGCGGCCTCCACATCGAGAACTTTAGAGAACAATCTTGCACTTTCCTCGCCCTTCATGCGCTTGTAGGCGCCAATTTTCGCTTTTCTTATGTATAGTTTATAATTTTTAAATGCAAGCCGCTTCCGACTACCCGATTTATCTGAAATTTCGATATATGTTATAAAATACAAAATAACAATTACAAATAACTGTAAGACTATTATAAATAACAACTACTACTAGCTTCCAGAGCCTAAATATGGTTGAATTTTCTATAAAGCTAGGTTGCTTCGCCATCGAAAACGTTTGTGAAACTTCATTTGAACTATATCGGACTACCTCAACTGTTAATTCCCCTTGGTCTGAGTACCAGAAAGTAGTCGATATACAATCGGACCACTGAAGAAAGACGAAAAAACTCGACGAAGTAGCAACATATTTGTATGGGCCAGCATGTGTGCAGTGAGCAGCATGCTGCAAAACCAAGAATTTTGTAAACAATCCTATAAAAGGAAGTCATGAAAACTATCCAATCATGTGGAGAATTAATGATGAATATTTACGGTGTATTTTTAAAATGACAAGGTACATTTCAGTATACTTTTGAGGATAGCGCGGTATATTTTATCGATAAGTCCGCAGTCCCACTGCAGCAGCTGCCTGTACGAAACATAAAAAACGGAATAAAGTAAATAAAATAAGATTTGAACTAAATTAAAAAATTGTCAAGCATAAAGAAGAATACTTTGAAAATGCCGGAGGAGTTGTTTAAAATCACCTATCAGCGCTCTGACGTGGCTGGACTCTAGAACGTAGGAGAGTCCTGTGAAATGTGAAATAAATATATGCAAACATTTATATAATACTGTTTGTTTCAAAAAACACGAACATAAAAACTAGTGTGCAAATAACTCCATCATCAACAAAACAAATCAGTACTCGTTTAAAATCATCATATTCTTTTATTGCAAAAAGTATTAGGTGAGTTCTAGTTTCGGGTAGGGAGAGAGGTTCGTGTACAAAAAGCATAAATATAAACAATTATGTATGTATGTTATTTTTCCAAGCCTTTTACGCTGTCGCGTGCTGAACAGTGACTCATTAGCGAATAGTTCCAGGTGCACTCCAGGTCCCCAGACTAACCTGACTCATGCATATACTGAAGCGTCATACAAATATAAGAAGATTACGCCGCCAGAATTTATGTTGCTAATATGAAATTTGTTCTCATTTTGCCCTACACAAGGATGTGCGCTGCCAAATTTATTTTTGAATTTGACCCAACAGGAGAAGACTTGTATAAAAATCCCTCTCTGTGTCCTCCCTTCTATCCCCATTGGTACTGCTTCTGACAAGTTTCTGCTTCAGCGGATTCAAGTGTGCCTACGTTCGCCTCGGTGCAGCTGCACCTAAATTGCACTCAACGCGTACTCTTCGCCAAGCTAACGCCTCCCTCTCTCTCTCACACACACTGTTTTCTGCGCCTCGTCATTCGCTATAAGTAACGGCATGTTTTGAGCGTATATGTGGATAAATACATTGTATACATGCATGTGTACATACATATATGGATGTATGTTTGACTGCCGATGTGTGCGTTCATTCACATTTGCGCATATTTATTGTTGGGTCACGTCTCTGTATTTTTATCATTTTTAGCCGCCAAAACTGTAATTATCTCGATGTCTCCCTCTGCCGTCTAGCTCTGCTTTCGCAAGAATTATTGTCTATTTGCTTGCACCTAAAACCTGATTGCTGGGTACAGGGAACCCTTACGTTCAGCGACGACAAGCGCCAACAAAATAAATTGCTTTTCTTGAATGTGTGCGCTTGTGTGTATCTACGCAGTACATATTCGATATGAAGAGCTGATAAATAGTAAGAAAAACAACTTAAATAAAAGCTGCGATGAGAGGCCATTTATTGGACACGTTGTATAATTCAAATGATATTTTACCTTAGTTAATATGTAATAAACAAAGTAGAACATCTCTAACAAATCTTTGCTTTCATACAGGAATATCTTTCTACAAATTTTACTAGCTGATAAAAATGTCAACTTCTTTTTGTAGAACTTGCAATTTTGTCTTGTCTATGTATACCCTGACACGAGACGAGATCAAAGCCCCTTTTCACTTTCCTCATCAGCTCACACAAACACACGCAACTGCAATGCCCTGCCTCCCTCCACCCACTGACGAGTGGCTGACTGACACGGCCAAGGCGTTTCATTTAAAAGTGATTCAATCAGTTTAATTGATTGCACTCATACTCGTCTGCCTCATACTCTAAGTGCACCGTGCACTATCGTACTCAATTTGATTGTTTGCATTTATGATTTTTCTGCAACACTCGCAAAATAACCACTCCCCCACCCCATGCACGCGAAAAGGAGGGACAGGTCAGTGCAAAGAGTCAATTTCTTCGCTGACTCGCTAGCTCGCACATCCACTTAAATCGCTTACAGTTACTTTGGTTTGGTACGTGTGCTTTATTGGTGTCTTCTTTCGTCGTCGCTATTTCAGATGCCGATGGCACGCGCTGGCACCTTGGGAGAAAGGGAGACGGCCGCGAGGAGGCAATATGAAATGTAAATGTAGGCAGAAAATGCTGTTGTATAAAATTACCCGATGTTGATGGCGGTGGCTCTCGTCGATGTGGGAAATGAATAACGCCAGTCGTCGGAATGGGGATTTATTTTATTGCCTAGACTTTGAATTCTTACCAAGGATACTGCCTTGTTATTTTTTATTTGTTGTGCCAGAGCTTGGGTTAGATGGTGGGCGGTAATGTACATACAACGTGTACCTTGACTTCGGATTTGTTTTATGCGTTAACTACACCATTTCCACTAAGGATGTAACTGAACAACGATTTTATTTCAAATGACACGAATGGAGAACAACTTCCATGCATACATACATGTATGTACATGTACATACATTTGTAAGTGACTTGGAATATGTTACCGTGCGACCTCCAAAGCAAACCGATATGTCCGACGTGAAGATCGTTGAACTTACGGATATGTTGAACAGAAAAATCAATTTTCCAATATAAAGTAGTTTACCTTATTTGCAAATCCTTTCCTTGAGAGTACGCAAGATTATAAAAAGAACCCTAAACATGATGGCAATTAAGTTATGATTATTAAGTATAAATGTGTATAATAATTTCCAAGCAATCTCCACTTTTCCAGACACTCGTTAATTTCAAATAATAAATATCTTTTTTCGACCTTGTATTTGATTTCTATATATTTGACGACTTTTCGACGAACGTCAGTGGACACCCCAAATAGCAGATACCAGAAACAAATTTAAATTCTTCCCTTGCGCCCGTTTCTCTATAGTTTGACTTTCTTCAAAGTTAAATTTCTGATATTGTTTTTTTTTTGTGGTGACTTTTCTCCTGATTTGTGGATGTAAAACTCTTATGTACATACATAAATATAGCTAACATCAGCGCTTCTCTTTCAGCTTACGCTTTGCACTGCCCAGTGGGTCAATACTTGCAATAATATTCTCCCCTGAGCACCCAAAAATCG